TGGTAGAGCTTGGTAGAGTGGTCCTTCCCAGATCCTTCCCCGCATACAGAGCCTGTCTCTTTTCTGATTGGTCCCTAAGGCCAGATTACCTGTCCCTATTACTGAGCAGAAGCTGATGAATGAAACAGGAGATCCCTCAGTCAAAAAAAAAAAAAGGAAAAAGAAAAATGAAGCAGGAGATCCCTTCTCTACAGCCCAGATGTAAGTCCAGCTCTGCCCTTCACCACCTGGGTGACCCTACCTCTATGAACATAGGTCCTAATCTGTAAAGGGGAGATAATGTTATTTCATCGGATCATTTAGGGAATTAAATAAGATAATGTACTTAGCAGTTTCTGGCTCTGAGTAAGTGCTTAATAAATGTTAGCAATTTTTATTATCATTGTCCTTAGCCTTGAGAACAAGCCAGGGAATAGTTTCTCAGACCAGATGCTAAGACCTAGGTAGATGGGCAATTTTCCTTGGTTTTGACAAGAAAATAATTTTATCCTGTGTATTTCTCTTGACTTTTTTGATGTGAAAAGCAGAGAGGTAAAGCATTATTTGACAGATGTATGGATTCAAGCAAGAAACTGAGGTCCAATTGCAAAGAAATGGCTTGTATAACTCAGAGCCCTGTCTGAGGAAACACAGAGGACCCTAGAGGGCGGAGAATGAACACAGCGCAGGGGCTAGTTCCAGAGTCGCATTCTCGGTTAGTTCACTTTCAAGTGTGGGTGAGGGTCCCTTGTTAGTAGGCAGAAATTTTTTTTCCCCTTCTCCAACACATATCTGCTGGCTAGTGTTTATTAAACAAAACTTTATTTTAATGTGAAATAGAATTCCTGACTTGTCCAAAATGGAGAGGCAAGGGAGCTCTTTAACAGGCTTATTGAGCCCCTTTTCCCACCTGTTCCTGTGCCAGACTTTCCCAAAGGCTTACTTGCCAATGGTTGCTCCTCAGATCTCAGGGCTAGCTCACTCTATAGGCTCCAAGCCAGAGTGATACTGCCGCCGCCGTTGTTGCTCCCACCAACCATTCAGTTTCCTGCTGTAGGGATGTAACTTGCTGTGAAGCTTTCACCTTCCTCCTTTCTTCCTGTCTTCAATGTTGTATGTCTTTGTCCTGGTGCTTTTGCCATACAGCCAGTGTTTCAAAGAAAATTTTCAGGCACTAAAATTATAGCCCTTACTCCCTTTCCAAGGAGATGTGAGATAGCTGTGGAAAAGAAGAGGGCTCCTCTGCCTCTGTGCAGAAGGAAGAGTTTACTTCTTGATAGTGTGCTAGCTCCTGAGCTAGGTGGGGGCCTTTACTCAAGAGAGCGCATTACTTGACCTCTGGACTGGTAGACTGGGCATAGCCCGTCCAAGGACAGCACCCTAACCTACAGGAACCAAGGCCGAAGACTGATTTTACCTTCTCACACTCCCGTTTCCTAAGCTAAAGCTTGCTCTGCAACACTGCCCCAGGTCTGTGGCTTAAAACAGCGATTTCCTTTGCCAGTTAATTAAGCTCACTCTTTATAAAATGTTTCAGCTTGGGGATTGGAAAGGCTCTCTGTGCCTTTCTGTCTCTGTCTATTTCTCCAAGGGTTGATGTTGATGGCTTCTGTCTTTGTCTTTACAGGGAACTCTAATGATCCAGGACAAAGAAGTTACCCTCGAGTATGTACCAAGCCTGGATTTTTGGTACTGCAAACGAGTAAGTACCAAGAATCCCTTTCTTTAGAAGTAAGCATCTGGAATAACAGCTCCTCCATATCTCTAGGAAGGCTGCCTGCTGACATGCATTCCCAAGGACAAAGCTCTTCTTCCTCAGGTCACTTCAGTTGAACAGGAGGAGGTCAAGACAAGGTCATTCATAATTTCTCCTTCCTGGCTGCTACATGTGGCCATAGAGGGTTCTGGACCTGCAGTTGGAGACACTTTCCCAAGGACATGTGCCATTATTTCTATCAGTTATAAACATAACAGTTCCTTGACATATAATATCTTCTCACCTCTCCTAGAGGTGGTCATAAAGGAATTCTTGTTTGGAAAAGTAGGTTTGGAGAGACTAGTTCTTTAAGAGTTGTACATTTTTTGGATATTCTTGGGTTTCCAAGGATATAGAACTTCAGACACCAAGGCATTTTACCTCTATTAAACTCCATATTCTCTTAGAGTGGGATATTTAAAATTTTAGGCTATACTCTTTTTTTTTTTTTTGAAACAGAGTCTTGCTCTGTTGCCCAGGCTAGAGTGCAATGGCGCAATATCCGCTCACTACCATCTCCGGCTCCTGGGTTTCAGCGATTCTCCTGCCTCAGCCTCCCAAGTAGCTGGGATTTCAGACATGTGCCACCTCGCCTGGCTAATTTTTGTATTTTTAGTAGAGATGGGGTTTCACCATGTTGGCCAGGCTGGTCTTGAACTTCTGACCTCAAGTGATCCACCTGCCTCGGCCTCCCAAACTGCTGGGATTATAGACATGAGCCACCACACCTGGCCTGCCTATTTATTTATTTATTTATTTTCAGACAGAATCTTGCTCTGTCGCCCAGGCTGGAGTGCAATGGCACGATCTCAGCTCACTGCAACCTCTGCTGCCTGGGTTCAAACGATTTTCCTGCCTCAGCCTCCCGAGTAACTAGGATTACAGGCGCCTGCCACCATGCCCAGCTAATTTTTTTGTAGTTTTTAGTAGAGATGGGGTTTCACCATCTTGCCAGGCTGGTCTTGAACTCCTGACCTCATTATCCATCCACCTCAGCCTCCCAAAGTGTTGAGATTACAGACGTGAGGCACTGCACCCAGCCGGCTATACTCTTTAAAGGTCCAGTTTGATTGCAGTGAGCATGAAAATATAATTTGTTTTCATTGCTACTACTTAGTGTCAAAAATAATTATGAAAAATGTGTAAAGTTTCTGAGCCCTGACACACTAAAAATGTTACAGTACTTGAATAAATTTAGTAAAGACGTTAGCTTAACATTCGTGTTAGTAGAATACGACTTGAATAGCTATGATTGTCATTAGCCAAAGTACTCATATTCCATGGATATACTCCCTTAGGTTGTCATTTTAGGAAGATATTTCCTTTCCTTTTATTGAGATAAAATACATGTAGCATTATATTTGCCATTGTAACCATTTTGAAGTATTAATTCAGTGACATTAAGTACCTTCACAATGTTGTGCAGCTATCAACACTATCTACTTACTAGAACTTTTTTTTTTTTTTTAATAAGAGATGGGATCTCACTATGTTGCCCAGGCTGGTCTCATAGTCCCTGGCTCAAGTCATCCTCCCACGTCAACCTCCCAAATAGCTGGGACTACAGGTGCCATCATGTTCAGCTTAATTCCAGAATTTCTTTTTTTTTTTTTTTTGAGACAGAGTCTGGCTCTGTCACCCAGGCTGGAGTGCAGTGGCCGGATCTCAGCTCACTGCAAGCTCCGCCTCCGGGGTTTACGCCATTCTCCTACCTCAGCCTCCCGAGTAGCTGGGACTACAGGCGCCCGCCAACTCGCCCAGCTAGTTTTTTTTGCATTTTTTAGTAGAGACGGGGTTTCACTGTGTTAGCCAGGATGCAGAATTTCTTTTTTCTTTTTTCTTTTTTTTTGAGATAGGATCTCACTCTGTTTCTCATGCTGGAGTACAGTGATGTGATCATGGCTCACTGCAGCCTTGACCTCCTGTACTCAAACGATCCTCTCACTTTGGCCTCTCGAAGTTCTGGGATTACGGGTGTGAGCCACCATATCTAGCCTCAGACCTTTTTTAAACCCCCAAAAGGAAACCTCATATCATTAATCAGTCACTTGCCACTTTGTCTTCCCCTAGTCCCCAGGAACCATTAATCTTTTTTCTATCTCCATGGATTTGCCAGACTCCATGGATTTGCCTAGTCTGGGTATTTCATATAAGTGGAATCAAAATATGTAAACTTTTGTGTTGGCCTTTCACCTAGCATGTTTTCAGAGTTCATGTATGTTGCAGTATTTATCAGTACCTCATTTCTTTTTGTGGCTAAATAATATGAATATATCACATTTTTTTCATCCATTGCTCAGTTGATGGACATTTGGGTTGTTTCTGCCCTGACTGGTGAATAATGGAACCTTTGTGTGCTAGTTTTTGTTTGAACAGCTGTTTTCAGTTATTTGGGGGTATGTATCCAGGAGTGGAATTGCTGGGATCATATGGTACTTTTATATTTAACTCTTTGAGGAACCACCAAACTGTGTTTATTGTATTATTATTATTATTAGCAAACTTTCATAGACCATAGCTGTACCATTTTATATTCCTATCAGCAATATATAAGGGCTTCATTTCTCCACCTGCTTGCTAACGTTTGTTCTTTTCCCTTTTTTTTGATAATAGCATCCTAATGGGTATGAAACAATATCTCATTGTGGTTTTGATTTGCATTTCACTACTGACTTTGAGAGTCTTTTTTCATGTGTTTGTTGGCCATTTGTATATCTTCTTTGGAGAAATGTTCAACCAAGTCCTTTGCCCTTTGGAATTGATTTGTATGTCTTTTTGTTGTTGAGTTGTAAGAGTACTTTATATTTGCTGGATATTAATCCCTTGTCAGATATATAATTCATAAATATTTTCTATGTGTTATGTTTTCTGTGTCTTCTGTTTCACTTTCTTGAGAGTATCATTTCTTAAAAAAAAAGAGAGAGAGAGAGAGATAAGGTCAGCCAGGTATGGCTCCTGGCTGTAATCCCAACACTTTGGGAGGCTGACGTGGGCAGATCACTTGAGCCCAGGAGTTCGAGACCAGCCTAGGCAACATGGCAAAACCCCATCTCTACAAAGAATACAAAAATTAACTGGTTGTGGTGGTGCATGCCTATAGTGCCAGCTACTAAGCAGGCTGAGGTGGGAGGATCACCTGAGACCAGGAGGTTGAGGCAGCAATGAGCCATGATAGTGCTACTGTACTTCAGTACTACAGCCTGGGTGACACAGCAAGACCTTGTCTCAAAAAAATTTCTTTTTAACCGGGCGCGGTGGCTCACACCTGTAATCTCAGCACTTTGGGAGACCGAGGCAGGTGGATCATCTGAGGTCGGGAGTTGGAGATCAGCCTGACCAACATGGAGAAACCCCATCTCCATTAAAAGTACCAAATTAGCTGGGCATGGTGGCACATGCCTGTAATCCCAGCTACTCAGGAGGCTAAGACAGGAGAATCTGCCTGGGAGGCAGAGGTTGCAGTGAGCCGAAATTGCACCATTGCACTCCAGCCTGGGCAACAAGAGTGAAACTTCATCTCAAAAAAAAAAGACAATGTTTAATTTTATTATGTACCTATTTAAATAGGCAATATTATTCATAATAGCCAAAAAATGGAAATAACCAAAATGTCCGTTGGCTGACGGATGGATGAACAAAGTTGGCATATCCATTCAATGAAATGCTATTTGACAATGAAAAGGAATAAAGTACTGATGCATGTTACAACCTAGATGAACCTTGAAAACACTATGCCAGACACAGAATACCATACATTGCACAATTCCATGTCCCTAAGGGTAAGAATGGGGGGAGGTAACTCCACTAGATTTCTTTTGGGGGTGATGAAAATGTTTCAGAATTAGATTGTGGGGATTGTTCACTACACATTTACTAAAAATCATTGAATTGTACACATAAAATAGGTAAGTTTTATGGGGTTTGTTTTTGTTTTTAAGACAGAGTCTTTGTTTGTCACCCAGGCTGGACTGCAGTGGACTGCAGTGGCACAATCTTGGCTCACTACAACCTCCACCTCCCAGGTTCAAGCGATTCTCCTGCCTCAGCCTCCCGAGTATCTGGGATTACAGGCGTGTGCCACCATACCTGGCTAATTTTGGTATTTTTAATAGA